ATTTCTTCCCTTCTGGACTTTCTTTGTCTTTACCTGTTTTTTTAATCTGATATATTTTGAATCCTTTCTCATTTCATTTTCCTGAGTCTTCTACCAATGTGTGTGTGTGTATGCATGCATGTGAATGTGCACACGTGTGTGTGCATGTGCATGCATATGAATGTGCACATGCGTGCACATGTGTGTGTGATCAGCACAGGGTTTACATATAAAATCCACACATTTTGACAATCCATTTAACCTGATAGCACCTTCACTTTAATTCCACAGGAAAAAACTGTACAACTATATCCCTTCTGCACATTGTTACCTATGTTACAAATTGCATTTTTATGTATTCTATACCCATGAACATAGATTTGTGATAGATTTTTTTATTTTAACGAGAAAAAACAATAACAAAACAACAACAATGAAGACAAAAACAACAACACAAAAACAAAAATGTACAGGATTTCAAAACAAAATGATAGGAATTAACAATGCTTGTTACACTACATATTGCTAGCTTCAACAAAGTTGCTCAGACCACCAGATGTATGCATGCAAGATTGATCAAACAAAGACATTAACAAGTAATTTAAAAAACACTGGAAAAGATACAGAGTTTCACCAAAGAAGATGGTAGGAATTCAACAATGGTTGTTATATTGCATATTGTTGTCTTCAAATTAGTTGTTCTGATTACCAGATACAAACACGCAAATTTGGTCAAGAAAAAAACTTTAAGCACTACCTTTTCCTTTCAGTAAACCAAGATATCACAGTATACCTATCTCAGCTATCCTTGTATATACACACACATTGTTTTTTCTTCTTTTGCATTTTAAAGTGAAAAGAACAAAAACAAAATAACAAAAACAAATGCATAAACAAAACAACATAAAAATAATAAAATGATACAGAATTTCAAATAGATAGGAAATTAACACTGGTTGTTATATTACATATTGTTATCTTAAAAGTGGTTGCTCAGATAACCAGATATATGCATGTAAGATTGATCAAACAATTACACATTAACTGCTGCTTTCAATAAACCAATAGAAATTAGTAGTACAATTATCTTAGCTATCTTATGTGTATATATATGTACACATTTTTTCCCATCCTTCTTTCTTTTTTCCTCTCCTCTCCCTCATCCCAGTTGTTTCTTCCTATTTGAACAGATTCTTTCCATTTCACAATATCTATTGTACCCTTCAGATTTTATTTACTCTTTCAGGTTCTTATACTAGGGAGGCAATAGGATGTTTACACATGTGAGTCTGATTTATTTCACTTATGAGTATGGTCTGTAGTTGCATCCATTTACCTATAAAAGCCTCAAATTTATCTTTCTTTATAGCCAGGTAATACTCCACTGTATAAAAATACCACACTTTTTTTATTCATTCCTCAGTTCATGGATATTTGGATTGTTTCCAAAATATAGCTATGACAAATTGTGCTGCTATACACACAGGTGCACATATATCTCTGTGGTATGATGTTTTCAGTTCTTCTGGAAAAATACCCGGGTGATTGATTTTTATGTTGAGTGATTTTTATTTTTCTGATTAATAAGATCCTCTCTTAAAGATGATAAGTGTACTTCTCTTGAGCTATCCTGCTTGGATTTGTAGAGCCATATTTTTCATCAAATTTGCAAAGTTTTCAGCCATTATCTCTTCAAATAATTTATCTCTTTTTCACTACTCCTTCTGGGAAAAATAATGCATATCTTTTCTGCTGGATATGATTCTACAAGGCTGTTAGGATCTGTACATTTTCCTTCATTCTTTTCTTTCTCCTCAGGCTACTTCCAAAGGTCTTGTCTTTAAAATCACTGACATATTTTTCAATTCAGTTATTGTATATTTTAGCTGCATAGCATCTATGGATCTTTTGTATAATTTCTAACATTTTGTTAGTAATCTCATTTTTCTCACACATGACTTTCCTGATTTTCTCTGGTGCTCATTATTTTATTTTTCATCTGCTTTGAGATAGAGTCTTTCTATGTTGTTCAGCTGACCAGGAACATGCAGTCCTTCTGCCTCAGCCTCCTGAGTAGCTGGGACTACATATATGTTTTTCTCTCTCTAACCCTTTGAACAATTTTAAGACAGTGGCTGGGTTTTTGATTGTTTTTGTTCTTTCACTGAGAAATAATAGTGTATGTATTTATAATGTAGAATATGCTTTTTGAGTTTTGTAGAATATGCTTTATAAATATGCTTTGGAATGATGAGACAAAGGCAAGTAACATATGTATCGCTTCCCACATATAATAATTTTCCGTGGTGAGAACACTTAAAATCTGCTCTTTTAGGACTTTTTGAGATTACAATGCATTGTTATTAGTCACTATCTTATACCATAGAGCTCTTCTATTTATTCCTCCTGTATAAGTGAGTTTTTCATCCTTTCACTATCATTTCCCCCATCCCACTCTCTCATCTCTGGTAACTGCCATTGTACTCTCTCTTTCTAAATGTTCAACTTCTTTAACTGCTAATATAAGTAAGACAGTGAAGCATTTGTCTTTTTGTGCTTGGTTTACTTTATATAATATAACATCCCCTATGTTTACCTATATTGTTGCAATTGACAAGATTTCCTTCATGCTAAAGGCTGAAAAGCATCCCATTCTACATGTGTGCCACATTTTCTTCATCTGTTCACCCATGGGTGAACACTTAATTCAATAACTCGGCATTTTGAATGATACTGAAGTGAACATGGGGGTCCAGATATCTCTTTGAGATACTGGCTCTATTTCATTTGGATATATATCTAGTGATAGAATTGTTGGGTCATATACTTCTATTTTTTAGTTTTTTGAGGAGCCTCCATACTGTTTTCCATAATAGCTGTACTAATATACATTTCTGCAAACAGTATTCAAGGGTTTCCTCTCTTCCCCATCCTTGTCAATACTGACCTTTCATCTTTTATGATAGCAGCCATTCTAACTGGAGAAGGTCATACCTTGCCATTATTGTAGTTTGTATCACCCTGATGCTTTGTGATGCTCAGCATTTTCTTCAAACATCTATTGGTCACTAATACGACTTCTTTGAGAAGTGCTTGCTATGGCTGTATCTGAGTGTCCCCAAATATCTCATGTGACTGGAAGGTGAGTGGATCATTGGGGTGCTGTGCTCATCAGTACATTCCTCCATTCAGAGATCAGTAGATGACTGTGCTGTTAGGAGATGGAGCCAGATCCGAGGTGGGCCATGAGAACTGTGACCTAGAAGGGTGTATTTATGTTCCTTCCTCCTCCTTCCTTTCTCCGCTTCCTGGCTCCCCTGATGTGAGCACCTTACTTCTGCTTCCCCTTCTAACATGCGGTTTCTGCCATCGAGTCTGTAAACCAGAGGCTGAACTCACTGAAACTTTTTGCCAAAGTAAACTACTCCTCCTTTAAGTTGTAGATATCAGGTATTATGTCCCAGTGACATAAGTGATGGGAAAATGAGTAATGCAAAAAATTGTACCAGAAGTGGGATCACCGCTGTAACTGTGTTTGGCCATATTCTGCAGAAACCTTTGTGACTGAGTTGTGAGGAGTTTGGAAAGGTTTGAAAATGCAGGCTACAGAAATCTTATGTTTTTCTGAGAAGTGCTTTGCATGCAATACTTGTCATTGCTAAGGAGACCAGGATGCTGATGGGTATAAGGACAGTAGTGGATAGGCCAAGAAATTTTCTGTTGGGAACAAGGTCTGGAGACTCTCTCTGTGTATATGTGTTATTCTCTGACAAGAAAAATTGTTTACATTTTGCCCATGTCCCGGGACTTCGAAGAAGACTGAGATTAAGGACAGTGGAATAATTAAACTGGGGAAGAAATTTGAAGGCAGTACAGCAACTAGTTTGTGGCATGGATATTGCTGGCTGCTTTTAGTTGGACCTACAGTGAGAATCAGGAGCAAAATGCAGAGCTGAATGATGCACAACTTGGCCAGAAAGGAAATCCCTGTGAAGTTGAGACAAAGGACAGAGGGCTTGCTTAAAACACTAGCAGTAAAATGAAGCCCAATTATTTATTATAGGAAAAATATAAATCATGGCTTTTGAGGAAGGCATTTGAGGAATTGTTCAGACCCCACTCTTTCCAGGCTCGAGGAGTAAAAACTGAAAGATTTCATTTGATTAGAGATCCCCTGGTTTCAGAAAGTCTGCCTAGGGTATTGGTTCCCTCAGTTTCATTACACTATTCTCAGCCATCCCCACACTCACAGGCCTCTGCAGCCAAGATCCAAGGAAGCCAGCTCCTGCATGACATGGTAGCAGACCCTGGCATCACTCGCATAGTGCTGATTTTTCAGGCATACAAAACTCAAGAGTAGTGGAATCATGGAGGTTTCTCCCCAGATATCAAGGGAAGGCCCAAGAGGCTTGGCAAGGAATGACACACTTTTAAATCAATACATGAAGCCAGGAATATAACCCAAAAGTGCAATGGAGACCCTAGGAAGGTTTTTTTGTTATTTTTTTTGTTTTTTTGTTTTTTCCCCGGTACCAGGGATCAAACTCATGACCTTGCTCTTGCTGGGCAGGCGCTGTGCCACTGAGCTAAATCCCCAACCCCCCTTTTTTTTTTTTTTGTCTTTTTGAGACAGTGTCTCGCTACGCAGTTGAGGCTGGCCTTGAGCGACTTTGTAGCCCAGGCTGGTCTCGAATTCACAATGATCCTCCTGCCTCAGCCTCCCGAGTGTTGGGATTACAGGCATGAGCCACCATGCCCGGCTTGACCCTAGGAAGTTAAAAAACCAGGACTGTGGAATCTCTGATGAGGGAAGCTTCAGGCAGCGAGCAGAACCAACTCATGAGAGACCGTACGGGATGTGACCAACAATTTCACAGGGACAGAGTTGCCCAAGCTCCGTGGAATTCACACAGCATCACAACCCTCTCTGGGTGCTGGCTCTGGAATTATGGAATTTAATATTTGCCCTGCTGAGTTTGGTCCTGTTTTGGCCCACTTCTTTTCTATCTTGCTGTACGTACCTTTTGGAATCTTGTGCCATTTTATGCTGGAAATATTTAACTTTCTTTTTGAGTTTTACCAGGACTCACAGCTCAGTTTGCCTTGATTCTCAGAGGAGACTTTGAAGTTGGAATTTTCAGCAATGCTTGTACTGTGAAGACAGTCAACTCTTAGAGATGAACTAAATGCATTTTGCATAATGAGATGGACATAAGCTTCCTGGGGGGCCAAAAGTGGAAAGTTATGATTTAGGTCTAAAAATTATCCCAAACTCTCATGTGTTTGGAAGGGGAATGGAACATGAGGGTGCAATACTTACCAGGGAGTATATCCATTGATGAGGTCAGCAGATGAATGTGCTGTTAGAAATTGATGGATGCATGGCTGGAGGTGGGCCACTATGGATATGATGTAGAAGTACGCACTCTTGTCCCTGTGTCCTCCCTTCTCTTTCTGCTTCCGCACCGCAACAGGGTGATCCACTTTCCCCCATCATCCCTTCGACTCTCTAGGTTCTGCCTTGGAGCCAGTGGACCATGGACCAAATCCCCTGAAACTCGGAGCCAAAATAACTTTCTCTTCCATTAATTGAAAGATGTCAGGTATTTTTTTCTCACTTACAGGTAAGATGAATAAAAACACCATGCCTTTGCCCCATTTTCTAATTAAGTTTTGTCTTATTATTGAGTTCCTTATATATTTGTAGATATCAATCCTGCTGTAGTGTGAGGTTTTGCAAGAGGAAACAATACAACACAGGACACTTAATTCTAAGATTATTTTATAATAGTTACCCATAACATCATATAAAAAAAGTGCAGGAAATCTGTCCACAGACTAAAAACCAAAGAATACAGCTGAGGTCCTGGATTCCATGGTAATGTCCTACATGAGTGCAGCTGAACCTAGAGCCCATACCAATGACCCCCACAAGTCCAACTGGAGGCCAAGAGCCCTTGACAATGCCTCATGAAGGCCTGTTTCTCGGATCTGCTCTGGGAAAGCCCCAAGGACAGTGGTGGAAGCTACAAAATCTGTGCCAGTGGATGAAGGATCTGCACTAGCAAGCTGAGGAATCTGCCCTGGAGCCAGGAACTAACACTCAAAGTAAGAACCAGAGTTCCCCTGAAAGGTACCACAGCCATCCTCAGCAACAATGAGGTTCTGAGCTCCTGCGATGATGAGAACAGCCAAGTTCCCATCAGGAAAGCCAGCGCGACAAGCATCTCCAGGGGAGTGAGCAGTGCACCATCTTCCCCTCTGGAGCCAGGAAGTGATGCTTAAAGTGAGGACCAGAGCTCCCCCAAAGTGAAATCTAGCCATTCTCAGTGACAGTAAGGTCCCAAGCTCCTTTGATGATAAGAATAGCTGAGTTCATCAGGAAAGCAATTATGGCAAGCTCCTCCAGGAAAACTGAAAGCTCCCTACAGCTTCCCAACAGATTTCAAACTTCTTCCTCTCCAGTTCTACCATGTATAGTGCTGGCAGCAACCCTCAGGTGGGCCTCCCACACCCAGCACCACACTGTTTCAGCTCAACTGGGTGTTACAAGTTGACCACCAGTTGTCAATCCACCACAAATCCCTTATCAGAATGTGGTTTGCAAAGATTTTCTCCTATTCTGTAAGGTTTTCTCCTACACGTGAGATTGTTTCCTTTGATATGCAGTGCTGTTTTAATTTGGCACAATCCCATTTGTCTATTTCCCTGTTTCTTGTGCTTTTGGTTCATATTCAAAAAGTGACTGCCCAAACCAATGTCATTTGGGGGCTGGGGGTTTAGCTCAGCGGCGCAGAACCTGCCTGTCAAGTGTGAGGGCCTGAGTTTGATTCCCAGTATGCCAAAAAAGAGGACTGTCCACCAATGTCATTGAAGTTTTATCCTACTTTTCAGTTTCTGGCCTTACATTTAAAAATTTAATCTATTTTGAGTTGACTTGTATATTTGGTAGGAGAAACGGTCTACCTTTGTTCTCCTGCATAGGAATATCAAAACACGTATTTTAAAGTCTTTGTTTAATATTTCCAAGATCTTGCTTTTCTCAGACACAGTCTCTGGCAATTTCCTTTCTTCTTTTTCATGGGCCATGTTTTCCTATTTTTGGATGCCTTGTTAGGTTTTGTTGAAAACTGGGCATTTAAAGAAACAGCCAGTCTGTTACAGTAGGCAGTCCTGGACTGATTATCTGCGTATACTCTGATTCCAGGGATCAGCCCATGGTGAAAGCGTAAGGTCTTGTCAGGATTTTCTGAGCATTCATCCTGCCTATGCTGTATGTAACTTTCTTAATTCCTCCTAATACTTGGCTGCCTTGGAATGTCTTGATATTTCCCCCACTTTCTCTTAACCTAGGCATGTGTGGATTCGGCTTCCCTGGAGCTTTCACAAGCAGTGACAGTCCGTTTGTTACTCATGCGGGTCTGTTTCATCTGAGATACTAATTACTTTCTAAAGAAACCAATGCTTGAACAGTCAGTCCCCAGACTGGATAGAACATGATAAGTAAGGATTACTCTGCCCCCTGCTGGTTTATGCAGTGGAACTGCAAACAACCTTCCTCTTGCTTCAGCTTGCCAGGCCGGTGCTGTGCCTCTGAGCTATATAGCCCAGGCAAATTTCCTATACTTTTGAATGTGGCTTCTATTCGAGTGGGAACTTGCTTGGTTACTATAGACCTTTGATTTTTAGTTCACTCAGTCTGCGTTTTGCTTTTTTAAATGTTTCATAAGGGAAATCAAAGCATTGAAGACTGCCTGCCTCCATTTCTTCCTCCATTCATTCACAAGCAAATGAACTCTTAACTCCCAGGATCAAGCAATCCGCCTACCTCAGCCTCCTGCCTAGCCGGGACTACAGGCACACACCGTCATTCTCTTCCTTAGTACATAGCTCAATTCATTAATATTTAATTTAATATTTTTGCATCTATGATGTTCCTTTCTCATATTAGTTTTGACAGATGCTGGGATCCATCTCAGAGTACCTTCAAAAATGACTTCACAGGTCAGTGTAGTGCACCTCCTCTGCGGTCCATTCTCAGGAATGAAAGAGGGAAAGAGATAGGGAGAGAGAAAGAGAACGATCTGAAAGCTGCATTCCTGGGTCATGTGATCAAGTATGCAAGAATTTTGCCACACTCAAATTAATTCCCATAATAGCGCATCAGATTTTTCTCCAGTTAACTATATCTTGGGGAGGACTGTAGAGCTCCACCTCCTACTCAGACTTCCTGCTCGCACCCCAAGCTACCAAGTCCATGGTTCCCAAGTCTTATTGGTCTGAGGTTTCATAGAAGCAGCTATGAAGACAAGAGTCAAAATTCTCAGAAGGGCGGAAAAACCAGCCAGGGTCTCCCAGAGAGCGACAAGGCTTTGCTGGCAGCCTCCGCCCCCGGTCTGAGAAGATCACTGGCAAGAAAACGCTGAGGCTGGAAGATGGGGATCCAGCCGCAATAACTTACCCTCAGCCAGCCTCCGGGAAAGGCGGATCTTTGAAGGCGCAAGCGCACCTCTGGCTAGAAGAGAGCGCGGCGGCTCCGGAACGACCCAGCCAGTAGTGAAGGTGCCCGGTGGCCTGAGATCTTTGTGGACTCCGTTACTTGGAGATGCCACGGCGGAGTCCCTGTTTGTATCCTCTTCTCAGCAGCGGGAGTGCAACTGAGACCTTTCCTCTCTCTGTCCTCTTGCTTTCTGCAGTGTGGCGCCTCTGCCTCAGCGGGTTTTATCCCCGCTGTTCCCTCTTATTGGCCAATGGGCGCTCTAGAAAATTCCCGCGCCGTAATTGGGAAGTGTGCATCTGATTGGCCAACACTGAGAATGGGCGGGGCCCAGAGGGGAATCCAACAGGTGCAACCCACTTCCCGCCACTCCTGAGTGAGTCACCCTTTCTCTCTCTTTGCCTTCGTGAGATGCCATTAACTGAGTATTACCGCCCACTCCTTGCCAGGCTTCCTCCGCTGTACAAAGATGGCTGCTCTTGCCGAGGCAGTCACCCATTCCCTGCTGGAACCTTTTTTTTTTTTTGGGTAAATGGTCTCACTAGATTCTCTGGTCTGTCCTGGAACTTTTAATGGTTCATCTTCAGTCTCCCCAGTACCAAGGACTGCAGGTGGGCACCCGGGACCTCAGCTACAAACAGCACGTTTAAGCAAGCAGAGAGCTGTGCTACTCTGGAAATGAGAGGCAGGTGAGGTGAGGTGAGGTAAGAGGTGGGGGCAGACAGGCCAGGGGAGAGGTGACTGTCAAGGGAAGTGCGGCCAGGAGAAGAGGGAGGCGGGGGAAGTGAGACACTAGAGGACAGGCTGAGGGAAGAGTAGAGGGGTGAGAAGAGAGGCAAGGTAGGAGTGGAGGCAGGGCTGAGGAGCAAGGTGAGGGGAGAGGCTAGAGAGACCTAAGGACACCAGCCATTTGTATCTGTCCACCATCACCCACACACCCCAGGCGAGCCTGTGGGTGACTCCAGCCCCAGACATCAACACCCCAGCTGAAGGGAAATGGAGGAGAAATAGGGTTTACCCTCTGTGCTCTGTGTGTGTTTCTCACCTTCAGGATATGTGATTATCACAGAATTATGGGGTAATTTGTGACACACATATCGTCAGTAACTGGGACAATACTCTATGTATTCTGCTATTTGCTTGCCTTTCTCCATAAACATTATATTAGTGAGATTCATATGCCTAGCATTTGTACCAAGTAGAGTCTACCAGATGCCTAATGATGTCAGTATCTACACATTCTCCTTGCTCTAAGTACTTTCCAATACTTGATGCTTTCAGAAATTTTTAAATAACAGTTTAGTCCACATCTTTCTGATTTCCAATCATTTATTAACATATATCCAATTTCACTGCAAGTACTTATACATTAACCTGGAGACCACTGACATCTTTTGTGAGATTACAATTCCAGTCCATAAACATAATGTAGCTCTATACTTTTACATTTCTCAGTGTCTTACATTAAAATTATACAATTTCTTGTATATCTTGTTAAGTTATTATTCCTATGTCCTCTATTTTTCAGGCAATTTAAAATGGTATCTTTGAAAGTATTCCCCCTTCCCCCACCCCACTGGTTTGAGGGTGTAGCTCAATGGTACAGTGCTTCCCTAGCCTGTGTGAGACTCTGGGTTCCACCCCCAGCATAGAAAACCAAGAAAAAAAGTCTTTCTACTTGTTTGATAATAATACAAATGCTTCTCATCCAAAGATTTCTGAGTGAAATGTCATTCTAGTGGTTTTTTCGTTCTAATGGTCATTATTTTTCTACAGGGATGATCAAGTAACTATGCCTGCAGAATCTTTTTTTTTTTTCTTTGCTCAAACTTATTCGCTTGGACCTTGAGCACAGCACCAATTAGAAAGGATGACAGTAGGCACCTTTCTCATGTTCTTTATGTTAAGGGCACATGTCAGTCTTTTCTCACTGTGCAGGAAGATTGCAGTATGCTTTCATTCAAATTTCACTTGTACCCATTTCCAAAGTGTGTTTACACTTCTAATTTGCTGAGAGTCGTGAATGGATGTGAAACTTTGTTTTTAAAAGGCTCATCATCTGTTTAGGTGAGTATGCGATTGTGATGACCTCCACTTACAGATTTTCTTTTGGGGGTATCAAAGTCTTTATTGGGTGGAATTAAAAAACTTAAATGGATGTTCTAAGTACAACTTATAGAAAAGGTAAAAGTATCCATTTCACGCATGCACCAAATTGGGGACCAGGAAGTCACCTGGTGCTAGTTGAAAGAGATATTCTAGCCTGCCAGATTCAGGGCAGAATCAGGTCGGTTACATGGGCACCCAGTTCTTTGATGGCTTTCACCTGCTCCTTCAGGTAGTCCGTCTCAGTGAAGTCATACAGTGGAGGTCATCAGTGGCCATCTGTGCAGTTCTAGCAGTGGTTGATGTGCACTTCTTCCCAAGTGTAACACAGGCTCCCTTGCATGCAGCCTGCTTTCCCAGTGGCTGAGCTCTGGATCTTTGATGTCCTGAGGGAAGATTCAGCCACCATTTTGGTTCTGCAGCTTCATCATTTTCTCAGCACGTCCTCCCTCTTTATGAGACTGTGAAGAAACACTTAGTCAGATTTCTCAAAGCCAGGTCATTGTGCTGAAAGTAGACATTAGAGACACTGAGGTCCAGGTTGATCTGAGGGGTACAGTGGCCTCCTAGACCTGGTGGTAGTTGTGGTGCACCTGCAAGGGAAACTCCACGGTCCTGATGTCCAGGCGGGCTGCTGGGAGAGACTCCATGGGAAAGGCCTCCAGAGCTTTGGGTGGGTCTGGGGGCTCTAAAAGGTGGTGGCGAAGGGCAACAGGCAACGCAGAGCTATATTGCAGGTCGACAGTGCCCATTCTGTCCAAGCACTATTGAAGAGGGAAACCCTGGTGACTCCACTGCATGGAGACAGTGTGCACTGAATGATCTGCAGATGCTGAAAGCAACATTGAGTTCTTGAGTTAAACCACATTAGACATGACGCATTGTCGTTTCTACAGGCTGTTGGATATGGAATGCTAACACAGGACTTGTTCAGAACATTTTATCCAGATAATTGAGTGCCAATGACCTGCCAGTTTCTTGCCATAGAGATTATGGTAGCTTCATAAGATTAGGGAGTGTTTCCTCTTGTTCTATGCTTGGGGAGAGTATTGTGAGACAGGAATTCTGCACCCAAGGTCAGAAATGGCAAGCAGGTGCTCTTCAACAGCATGTGAACAGTGTGAACAGGGAAAAGGACATAGCACATTCTGCCTCTTCCCTTCTAGGAAGAGGGGAACGAGGCAGGTGGTTGGGAAGGGAGAAGGAAAGAGGGATTGCAGGGAAAGCCAGGAAGGAAGGGGCAGGAGAGTGGGAAGAGGCAGAGAGGAGGACACAGGACTTTTAAACTGAGGTAGTGTTTCCTTCTCTGTGGGGAATGGGGTGGTGGTATAACTTTTTGTAGATCTGAAAAGTTTCACAATAAAATATGAAATAATTTTTTTCTCTCATGGAGGTCTATATGTGATGTCCTGGAATTCCATAGATATTGGACACTTCCTTCTGGGGTGCTCCCTTCTCCCATCGCAACAACTAGACTTAACCTCTTTGGAATCCACAGAGGCAGACATCCAGACCAGCTTTTGTTTCCTTGGTAGGGGAATTTAAAGTTCCCAGAAGAGCACTAGTATTATATCTGTCTTTGTAGACATGAGTGTCTCTCATTCTCTGACTGAATCTGTCAGATTTTCCCCACATCCTGGCTGGGCTGGGGTCCTAACCCTGACCAGTTGTTAGAGGGACATGGCCCAGTGCCTCTGGGATCACATTCCAGTGTGGTCCTAGGCGGGAAAAGTGGGTGTCTGGGCATCAACACTGACCACATTGCCACTGCGTCTGTGTATTTCTGAAGTCAGGATGGAGTTCTCTGTGTGCACAGGGGAATCCACCTGTCCAAACTCCACAGCCTTCGGGTTCCTCCTTCTCTTATTTCTAGATTTCACACAAAGCACAAAAGAGGGAGGTCAGAGCAGTTGTTCAATTTCTTTAACTTTGCCGCAAAAATCTGCAGTCTGAATGTTCCTGGATTCTCCAAGTGTCAGTGTCATTGAAATTTCAATGCCTGACTAAGATTGTCTGAGCTTTCATTATGTGTAAATACAGAAAATTTGGTTTTACTCCTGGCTTCCTCCCTGGTGACTGTCGATCAACTTTCCAACACAATTCACCACACCCCCGTATCTCTAAACACCTCAGTAGTACTTTCCTAAAAATAAGGATATTCTAGGACAGTCATCAAAATCAGGACATTAATACTGATATAATATTATTACTCCACCATTAGACCTTATTTGAATTTCATCAATCACCCCACAAATGCCTTCATGCCAAAAGGAAAAAGATTCTGCTCTAAGATTCAAACTAGGATCAAACACCCATGTTCCAAAAAGACAGATACAATAGGTAGTGCTCTGTTGGGAACTTTAAATTCCCCTGCCAAGGGAACACAAGCTGGTCTGGATGTCTGTCTCTGTTGGTTCCAAAGAGGTGAAGTCTAGTTGTTCCTGTGGGGGAAGGGAGCACCCCAGAAGGAAGGAAGTGTCCAGTAACTATGGAACTCCAGGACATCACATATAGACCTCCATGAGAGAAATTAGTTAATTTTTTATTATAAAACATTTCAGACCTACCAAGAGGTATACCACCACCCTATCCCCCTCCAGAGAAGGAAACATTGCCTCAGTTTAAAATCCTGTGTCCTCTTCTCTGCCTCTTCTCTCTCCTTCCCTTTCCTTCCTGGCTTTGCTTGCAATCCCTCATTCCTTCTCCCTTCCCAACCACCTGCCTTGCTCCTCTTTTCCTAGGTGGGAAGAGGCAGAATGTGCTATATCCCTTTCCCCATTCACACTGTTCACAGAGAGTTGAAGAGTGCCTGCTTGCCATTTCTGACCCTTAGGTACCCAGTCTTCTCTTGCCAAGACTGGGACAGCTCAGGGATTGTGTTTCTTTCCAGATACTTGAAGGCAAGATTTCCTTTAGCCCTTCTCTCTGCACCCTCCCCAGCCACAGAGTTGAAAGGACTCTGTGACTCAGGGTGAGCTGTTCAGAAAGTCACTCTGTGTGGGTTCAGAGAGAGGAGTTTGTTACGTGACAAAGGTGGAGAAAGCGGGTAGAGTCTCAGAGTCCTCAAATCACTAGGGGAGCAGTGATATTTCTAGTACACAGG